TTTTTTTTGCGGCTGGTAGCCTCGCCCTTATTGACCAAAGGTTCACCTGGCGCTGGCCCTGGCTTGAGCTTTCTGCTTTTTTTTATCTGGTACGGTTTTCTGTGCATTATTATCTTTATCACCATTATTATTATTACCATTATTAATAATAATATTATTACTACTATTATTATTATAGTTAGTATTCTTTTTCTTTTCCGGCCCCGCCTGTAGGGGAGTCGGATCGAGTTCGAGCTCTCTTTTGCGAGCCAGGGCCAGCCTTGCGCAGCTCCGAAAAGGTAGACCCTTCCGGCGCTGCTCTCGGAGGTAGCTTAATATATATAAGCTCTCCTCGATTTGGGCCATCCCCGTTTTTATGTCCATGGACACATTCTTCTGCTTGGAGACAGCACTCTGCATCTTCTTCAAGACGAGCCGAATCTGGGCCAATTGCTCATTGCCTTCGCAAGTTCCCAAGCTTGCGGTGACATGCTTGTCGCTGTTTGCAGCAGCCGGCGTTTGAAGACGACAATCCCGGCTGCCGGGAGTTGCCGTTTGGCAAGATGTAGCCTTCTGCGCCACGTCGGCGGCTTTCTCCGTGCTCGTGGTGCCGGCATTTGCCTGCAGAGGAGTTTGTGGCGGGGAGCGCACAACTCTACTGCTCTTCCTGAATGCGCTGCATTCTTCCTCCATAACATCAACGTTGGTTTCATTTGCTTGTTTTATTTTATTCATTTCCAATCAATTGGGTCTCCGCTTCAAGCCGCTATCTAGACACGTAGCACAGTCGCTTTTAAGTGTCCCGAAGTTCCCTTCTCTCAACGGAGCAGGCCATCGCGAGGGTTGACACAAGTCCTTATGGGATATTGTGTTCAGAGCCAAGACAGCGCAAAACCAGGAGTAAATCTCAACTGGACCTGTGCGGCCAACTAAATGGCGACGTGTGTTGAACATACTTGAAGACCTGCCAGGGTTTTAACGAGACGGAGGCGATTGCAGCATTAGCCCACCAGCCATTTCTGTGAGGTGTCACCCTCACATACTAAAGTGGCGGAATACTGCTCTCGCCAGCCCAATATCGAACTAATCGTATACATGCTGCAGTATGCCATGAACAGGATCTAACTGGTCTCAATCCTGGGATGCTTTTTGGGAGGCGGCATCTGTTCGCCCGGACACAGGGGATTCATCAAGCATTTCTGATCTTTTAAATCAGGCCCTCGTCGCCGCTCTTGGTCTTGGACTGCTTATTGGTTATTCGCAGCTAACCTACCGGAGTAGGCCGTTCCCGATCCACCCTGTGTGACCCCGGTAAGGTCCTGCGCTTAGCCCTTAAGATTGTTATTATTAAACTCAATAAAAAGGTATTCTACTTGCTGAGAAGCTTCAGATCTGCTGATTTCTTTCCATTTAATATAGTTTTTGAAATAGAAAGCAATGCCTCCTCCCCGCATCTTTGATGTCCTATCACTTCTCACTAACGTATGTATAGTCGCACAAGCCGTACGAGTTGTCATCAATGCACTCTTGGAACCACGTTTCGGTAATACATAATAAGTCTATATTTAAGCCATCGAAAATGAAATTTAAGTAATCAATTTTCCCGGAATTTAAACTTCTAGTATTAAAGCTACATATATTAAAACCAGTGCAGCTATTACATACAAGCTCAAGAATTCCTTTAACATGATCTTTGTTAGCCTGTTTTGTTATTTCAATACACATCAGCAATAAATGTATGTCGAATGGGGTATACAAGTTGAATTGGCATAGGCAGTCAGCAGAAATAGTGTTGAGATAGAGAGAGTATAACAGGAAAGAATGTAAAACAATAACAAGATATAAGAGATAAGCCTTAACTTAAACCTACAAATAACAGCATCACATAAAACCAAAGCTGGGCTACAATGTTTCTGCACTTATTTGCTAAGAGCTGCTATACTTTCTATGTTTTTCACGTCTGTCACTTTGATTGCATCAGTTTTCGATTGAGCTCTAACAATTACATGGCCACGAATCGAGAATGCGGATGTTAACCGCCTTTGCTTTTTTAGCTGAGTAGCAAAGTGCATCAATTCGCGGTTTTTCTTTGTTAAGCACTCGTGTATAAATAGTTTCCCTTCAACATTATATCCCATGTCGCGAAGAGAAATTGGCCTTCTCTTTTCTTTACAGTAGTTTGCCACTGCTTTCAGCAACAGAGAGCGATCAAAAGCTGAGCTCAGTTTAACGATGACGGGAGCGTTAGTGTTATTGCTAGTTCGCAGTCTAAAGGCAGAACGTACCGGGCGCAATTGTACTGCAAGCATTTGACAAAGCTGAAAGAAGCTGTTCGTTATGTTCTCTTCTTTTGTTGTTGGCGGGCCACTGATGAAGGCATCCGAAGATATGAGGTTATTCTCATGCTCGTTCATTTGTTCAGTGAAAGCATGTACGTCACTGCGAAGCTTTTCACACTCCATCTCGGTTTTTTTCATACGCTCATTAACTTCTTTAAGCGATCTTTTTAAATTTGCAGTTTCCGCTGTCATCTAACCAAACCTCTCCAAGACACGCTCTTCAGATTGCCTCATACGTATTGTTAGCTGTTCGACTATACTTTGCTTATGAGATTCGAGGTGAGCATCTAATTTTTCGAACCATACATTAAGAGGTAGATTGGGACTCTCAGCTCTCTGAGGCTTACTCTGCAGCACTGAAGGGGTCTTAGGTGAAGGGGAAGACTTACGTGTAGTTGTTCTTGTTGAAATTTTTGACATGTTAACAAAGCAAAATTAAACAATCTAGAACGCACCAAGTTTTTAAGATTTTAAATCCGCTACTACGGTGGCAGGTGACTTAAAGTTGCTATGATATCGGCACACTCGGACAGTTTAACCACTCACAGACACTATGGTATCAATTTAACCAATTAAAGCACACGGTGGATTGAAGAAAATATGGATAATACTGCAGCTACTTAAGAATGCGTCTACTCGCGTGACATTTGTCTTGTATTGGTATTTCCGGTCGTCTTCGTGCATTACAATTTGCCGATACATTTTGATGATGTCGGCGGTGAGCGCATACCGATAAAGCCGATAGCGCAAAAGTAGAATAAATAGTTCAGCTTGCAAAGTAGGTCCTACCATCTGTAGATCGTTAAGCGAATTTTGGGTTGTCGTTCGACAGGATGCATCACGATCCTTAGGTTGGTTGTTGTACTTACTTGTTGGCTTCAGAACACAGTGATGAGGAACATAATAATGTGGCTAGTTTACCTTTGGGTTTTCCACAACGCTCGTGTCCCAACCCTTTGTATTCGACCATGAATTCGATGTATTGCGCCTTTAGTAGAGGTAACTTTTCCAAACGACGTTCTTGCGCATAAAACCGTCTCAAAGCCGTAACGTTTGAGTCACCCAAACAACTAGGATCATCCTTGAAGGGCAATCTTACCACTATGCTGCCACAGGATTTTCTGGAGACTGTATTGAGATATATATGTGCAGTTCACGAGTCCAAGGATCCACGGCGGTAGCAACTTCCTCCAAGTTCCACAATTTCTCCAACCTTGCATCCAGAGATTCATTAGCTGTAAGTAGGCATGAAGGTTTGATTGAGTTATTAGTTGTTTGATATCGTCCGGATACGACCCATCCTAACAGCGTTTTTGCCTTTGTCCTAGTTTAAATTGGACCGACAGACAGTCGTTTCAGTACCTAACAACAAGTCGACCTTCCCTGGCACGTGGAATTCCTCATCTGCCAATGTAGTATTCCCTGGGATATTCATGAAGAAATGTCGATTTATTGATCCAGTTGATAGGCAATGTGGGTTGTGATGCAGAAGGTCAACGGAAGCTCGAAACCAGTAACTACCGATTTGATATTAGTTGTTGTTTTATACTTGATATTGGTCGAGGACTTACCAATGCCTTGGATTTCAATATTTTGGTTACTTCTTGATAACCTTAATTTTTGCGAAAATTCATACGTGATGAAGTTAACCTGGGAACAGGAGTCCAACAGTGCCTTACCCAATTTGTAGTTGCCAGATGAGTCACGAACCCAAACCATTGCAGTTGCAAGAATAATGTCACTGGACGAGTTGTTCATATGTGTACGTACAGTAGCCTCCGTTGTTGAAGATGAAGGATTTGTGGCTTGGTGGTTTGGTGCTGATCCACGATGAAGTAAAGTGTGGTGTTGCCTTTGACAAACCTTGCACCGATGCGATGATGGACAATGCGTTGCTTGATGCCCCTTTGAAATGCAATTGATACAGACCAAACTTCTTTGCATTATCAAAGCGTTGAGCGATGCTAAGTTCTTTGAAGCGTTCGCAATTCAAAGGTGTATGGCAAGAAAAGGTGTATCCGCGTTGCTGGCCTTTTGACTTA